ACAGGTGTAAAATGGGTACACTCAAATGCAAACTCAACTACAGTTTTTGAGTGAGTCGACCTTGTAACTTTCCATCACTGGGAGTGGTTATGATGAGCTTAACATCAGTATTTTATTGAATTAATGACTTTACTTAAGTAGCAAAGCAGGGTACTAAACAATGTCCTATGTGCTGTAAATGCATTTACTGTAAGTCTTGCTCTTGTCAAAAACTCCTCCATCACTGACAATAGGGTTCAACTTTGAAGAATAATTGTTTGCAGAAACATAAGCTGGCAGTTTGGGAAGGCTAGGGTTTCAAGCTATAATTAAAAGCCATTTAAATGAATGATTCACAAGAGTCTAAGAAGGCATGGAGGAGAAATCAGCCGCAGCTGTGACGCAATGTCAGAATCAAGTATCAGATGGATGCTTGGTCAATAAATATGGTATATGAATGAAAAGACTTGGGCTGGCACCTAAAACCACATTTTGTCTTACTTTGTTTTGTTTTTTTCATGTCTTAAGCACATTACATCTGAGAATCAAAGTTATTATCTTAAACATACTGTCATTATTCAAATAACTGTGAAACCATGACCATGCCCTTCTGTATTTGTCGATGGGAAAAGTCTGTACAAGTTTATGTTACTTGGAAAGCAATATGCTGCAGACTACAGAGAGAGTCACACACACGTACACACAAATAATGTATCCGCTTAGTGGTTTAGTTTGATTAATGGGCTTGTATACTGCATCTTGCTCACCCTACCAAGGAATTTGCTCTGTTGCTACACTTGTACACACACACACACTGCAGAGAGCTTTTTGTGTCTTCTGTTATAAAAAAAATCCAGTGTTTCCTGTCAGTTGTCCTGTTGTCAATTTTAAGGATAATTTCACATGAACTTTGGGACTTGAACAACCTCCAAACAACGGCGTAATCAGATAAGATGTGTGGCCCATTCACAATTGCTCAATCTGTTTTTATTATAGCTATAGTCTGTTAAATCATGACAAAAATATGGCTTTATTTTACACACGTACAGGGTCCTTCTTTGTGCTGCAATACATACTACCGGTATACTAAAATATCCAACATCTTCTTTAAAGCTGCTACAATCAATGTTTTTAGATAAATAATGAAACAAAAATTAGCAAACAACTCATGAGGAGCTGGTGGAAACCAAACAGAGCTGATTAGAGTATACTAATTAGGTAGAAAAACAACCCTTCACATTAATTCTAATGTTGGTCCTCGTCTGCTGGTTATATAAATATGTAATAAGCTAATTAGTTCGCCATAACAACTTTTTAAAGTGACAATATATCAGTGTTCAGTTGCGCTGCCCCCAAGTGGACAAAAAGAAAGCAATTAATGCACCATAATAAAGAAGCAGACAAATTTCGTTGTCTAAAGAAGTAAGTAAGTGAAGTGAAAAATCTCCCTGAATTGTTTAATCTAGAAAATAACCCGTGTAACTATATGGATGGATGGATTCAGTTGATGTTGCCCCAATTAGCTGTGTTTTCCTATTCATAGTCCACCATATGAGCTTAAGCCTCTAATAGAATGAATTCGGCTAAAGGTTGACAACCCTGCTCAGCACAAACATACAACCAGATTTGCATTCAAAGGGTATAAGTTAATGACATTCATCCCTTTGTGTCTTAGGACTGTGAGAGGAAACGTGATTACTCACAGGAAACGAAGGTGGTGAGAACAAGCAAAGAAGCACACAAATCCAAACAACAAACAAATAATTAACTTTTTCTTAAATGGCAAGGCCAATATGACATTGTCAGAGAATCCTAAAGCTATTAATCATAATCTAACCATGCATATTAGACCATCTACCAGAGAAAGAGAGGAATTTATGAAACAGTGGAAGCATCAAAGCCATATCAGCAATTTATGATCAAATTGAGATGTTTTACTTTTTTCCTGCTTGATTATTTTTAATATTTTAAAGGTGAAGAATGTTGACCAGAAAATTTAATTTTCTACACACACAAGCCAATGAAATTGTGGTTTATTTTTAGCTGCCAGCACCTCTTAAAGTCAGTTTTCTTTTCAGTTCATTGAATACTTTTACCTGACCTTCAATTGTCTGAAGTGAATGTAACAGGAGCGGTTCCAAGACCAGCATCTCTCCATGTACATTTTTATTAGAAACACCAGCACAACCACATCTGGCTTCACCCCTGCCTGACTTCCTCAGAGAAACAGCAGCATTGTAGGGTTTGAACTAGGGGGTAACACACTGGTGACAGGCATGGCGGACACAGACATAATTGAATAAAGATTCCAGTTGTTCTGAAATCCCCAGTTTTAGCCTCTGGGTCTTTGAGGTGGGCCCCAGAAATCCGAGGAATGAGAGGCTTTCCCCGTGCTGTCAGCACTGCGGACACACTTTAATCCTGCACCACTGGGAGAATGCTAATGAGAAGTGCTCGGACGACCAAGGCAGTGGATTGTGTGTGTGTGTGTGTTGAAAGCATTGACAAGCACTGAGCCTTGAACCTGAATGACCCATGGTCCTATAATATATTTATGGGAGGTGTGACACAATATAGCTGGGTGATATCTAAAAATGCAGGCCCTAGAAATAATGTACAGCTTCCAATGACGAGTCAGAGCTTTCAACAAGCTGATACACATCTCAGTACTCTGCTACCAACACAAACACAGGAGTGGTCTCGGGTGGAGTTTCACTGTGATGTTGTCTTTAAATACACGATGACATCATCACCTGGTCATGTTAGGTATTGCGTTTTTTTCCCTGTATGTCCTGTAGACTTTTACTCTAGTGCTCTACTTAAGTTCAATTTTGAGGCACAGTACTTTCCACACAATTTCCACTTTACACATCTACCCTACTATATTTCAGGACATTCATAAATACTAAATATTGTACTTCACTTAACTAATGGCATCCAAGGCAGATATCAACTTTATCAACCAACTATCTATATTTCTAACAATCTCCTGCACGCAGACGGATTCACTTGCTGATTTTTGATTTTTTTTTTAAATAAGAGAACATGAAATATGCCATAAATGATTATTAGACTGTTGCTGGTGATGGATGGTTATGTTACAGTTAGATTATATGAGAACAGACGCCAACATAGTGAGGCAGAGTGAGGCATGTAATGGATGGCAGACTGCTGCCATCTAGTGGCTGTGACTTAACATTAAGTTTTCTGAAAACCTGTACACAGTGTAGTGTTTTACTGTCAATGGGTTTGACTCACAGGTCATTTACTATTACATTCATAGTTTTTAGAAAAGCTGATTTAAATGAATGGAAACATATTGAGATGTTAGACAACATATAAGCAGTCAGGTGCTCCTTTAGAATGAAATAAGCATTAGTATTGCAAGTCTGATTATTCAGGTTACACCAAATGCCAAAATTACTGCCTCAGATGGTAGAAAGAGTTTTCTATGAAGGGGAACACAACGTTTTGGCTGCTTGCCATGGTGCTTATTAGAAAGAGTTGTCCAATACAGTCATTGTGAGGACACCCCATTTACACTGTAATCTGTAAAGATGTATTGTTTTTTTGTATACATTTAACTAATTGTATCAGTTAAAGCAGAAAGAGTACATTCTTTAATTTTTGTGTACTTTAAGTTGCTAAGTGAAGCCATGTGGCAGCGAAAAGGCTTGTTCCAGAAATGAGGATGACATCTCAGTGTCTTAGTAGTAGAAGACTATTGTGCCAACAAACCCCACCTTAAGGTAACAATTACTATTACGTCTTATTCAACAGTGATCAAAGGTTAAAAGTAAAATAAAAAATAAAATAAATCACTGGCTAAAAAAAAAACCTAAATATGGAGCCACCACCAGGTGTCATGCTCATGCCAACCAGAAGACTAGCTAACTTTACATGTAAAGACAGTTGGGTGTTTCATGCACAAAACCATTCTTTATCCATTTTTTTCTTATGTCAAATTATGTACAAACCAACCGTGCAACTTCTGTCTAATGTATCATATGGTATTGAAATACATTATTCCAGCATGAATTTTTATATTATTAAGGGTATTGTGAAACTACTTGCAGTGAATAAAGTCAGTGATTATACTGACTAGAGACACTGACAGGAGTTCAGAAAGGAACCACCCCACCCTCCTTTTTGAATGTATTTAATGTGCTTTCACATGTTATTGCATAGAAACCAGCAGGCTATAATGCTCTTGTGGAGCTGGGGGGGCTGGGGATCACCCTGTGACAGCAGGGTCAGCCGTGAATGTTGTTGTATCAACACTTCCATTAAGTTTCAAATAGAGTAAAATGTTGTTTGTAGTCATTATTTATATTTTCTTTTGCTTTTTCTTTCTCCTTCCTGCATTCCCTCACATTTGCATCTATCAATGCTTTTATAATGTTTGAAGATAAACTAGTCAAAACAAATCCTGTTTAAATGTTATATGCTAAGTACAGTCCTGATAGTACGGTGGCAATTTTTAAACGTAGCCTACAAACTATGGCTAATTAAGATAAGATAAGATAAGATATAATAAGATATTCCTTTATTTGTCCCACAATGGGGACATTCCAATGTTACAGCAACAAAGT